TTAAAATATGAAAAATCTCAAGATAGCAACAGCAGAGCATTAAACTAAGCTTGAGGCCTTTCTGAGCATGGAGCCTTGTATGACCTGAGCTGAAGGCAGACGCTTAACCGACTGAGCCACCCAGGCATCCCGGCTATGTAATCTTATATATTGAGATGGGAAGAGGCAATTAGTGGAAGCCTTGTATGAATGTACTATTCTACCATGGTTCTTTCTCCTCTCAAACACTTACTACTGTCTGATTCTTTTCAATTAGAATGTTCTGGAAGGTGTGTCGTGATAGCTCATTACGGTTTTAATTCCTCTTTCTCTGATAACTAATGCAGTTGAGCCCCATTTCATGTCTATTGGCCATTTAGCTCTGTTTTGTGCAATACCGGCTCAAATCTTTTAAATTTTTTGCTGTTGCTTATATCCCTTTTTCTTACTGATTTGTGTGAGTTCTTTAAATATTTTGCATAAGAATCTAGTCCTTTGTATGATGTATGTGTTATAAGACTCTTTCCTTATTCTGTATAGTATAAAGTCACCTTAACTCATTTATTTTTTGAAGTGAAATTCTCCTGTGGTTCATCAGATTAATTCAGTTCATTGTGTTTGGGGTTCAAGTCTCTTTTCCCTTCAGTGCCATTTCTGAAATATTTCAAGCCTGTGCCTGTGCATTTTCCAGATCTGGGGATGGGGCTAAAGTAGCATCTTATCTGGAGATGTGCAAATTTCTGTGTGTGTATTTAGGCATTTGTGTGAAATGAAGTAACTCCTTTTGCTTCAAATCTCCTCCACCCCATTGTCCAGTGCTAACTGTGCAGGCCATTTGTAAGTCTCTCTACATAATTTCTACAGGTCCTGGGTTTCTGTGTCTTCTTTTCATACGATACAACTCTGCCTACCATCTTCCACAAAGTATGTTCTGAAGCAGGCTGCCTTTTAAAGTATCTCCATCCTGTGAAGGGCCAAGCTGTAAAGATGCTGCACATGACAGATGTTTTGGATATCTTGAAGAATCCCCAGCTCTTCCGTCTACATGATCAAGAAGAGAATCCAGAAACCATCCCCATAAGAAAGCCAGGGGCTCTGAAAGTTTCTCATCAGACGTTTAGGGATTTTCAGTATCTTTCAGTGACCGGGCCTCACCAAGCTGTGAGCCAGATCCAGGAGCTCTGCTGGCAATGGCTGCAGCCGGAGACCCACACCAAGGAGCAGATGATGGAGCAACTGGTGCTGGAGCAGTTTCTGAACACCCTACCAGAGGAGGTTCGGACCTGGGTGAGGTCAAAAAAGCCTAAGAACAGCAAGGAGGCGGGAACCCTGGTGGCCAGTTGGATCCAAGCATGTGAGGAGAAAGGTGAGAGAGAAAGGAAGCCACTAGTCATTTCCATTTACTGAACATCCTCTGTATGCCTGGCATGCAGTAGGAGATGTCAGATGAATAAGTGAACGAATAAATTTTATAATCCAGTCTAATCTGCCTCATATGAGATGGACGAAATCTTGGGTTTGGCTTTTGCTTTTAATATTTACTATTTCTCTGAGAGTACCCCTTCTCTCCAGCTTTGTTCTTCCCTGCTCCATTTCTTTCTTTTTTTTTTTTTAAAGATTTTATTTATTTATATGACAGAGAGAGACAGCGAGAACGGGAACACAAGCAGGGGGAGCGGGAGAGGGAGAAGCAGGCCTCCCGCCGAGCAGGGAGCCCGATGCGGGGCTCGATCCCAGGACCCTGGGATCATGACCTGAGCCGAAGGCAGACGCTTAACGACTGAGCCACCCAGGCGCCCCTTCCCTGCTCCATTTCTTATCTCACCTAAACTTGAGTATCAACACAAAACAAGACAACACACAGGAGGTTATAAAATGTGGGAGCTATGAGGCCTGGAAGTTTAACCTTTACCAAAATTTGGTCTGTTGGAAACTCAAGTTACTAGATTGGAACTAAGGATATTTTAATAATGAAAGAAGAAAGCCATTTCCTCCTCATTGTCCTTTGAATAAAAGTGATACTAAAAACAAAGTATTGTTTAGGGGTATTTATATACATATATATATAGAGAGAGAGAGAGAGGGAGGTAGACAGAGAGAGGCAGGCAAGGGAAAAAAAAGTATGAACATAAGACCACAGTTACCTCTGGAGGGAAGGCTGGGGGTGGACAGGAAAAAGCACACGGGTAGATATAAGTTACTGGGAATGTTCTAGATTGGGGGTTAGGTAGTGAATTCACAGGCATTAATTATACTTAAGCATGGAAATGAATAAATTTAAAGTAAACAAGGTCATGCATGGTTTAATACTGATACCATGAATTAAGGATTATGATTAATCCAGTTATGTGTACCTGCATTTTTTTTTAAAGATTTTATTTATTCATTTGAGACACAGAAATATATAGAGAGAGAGCATGAGCAGTGGGAGAAGCAGAGGGAGAGGGAGAAGCAGACTCCCCGCTGAGCCAGGAGCCCGATGCGGGGCTCGATCCCAGGACCCTGGGATCATGACCTGAGCCGAAGGCAGACGCTTAATGACTGAGCCACCCAGGCGCCCCTGTACCTGCATTTCTTAAAAGGATTTTGAAGATGATAATAGTGAACATGTTGAATACTTTTTTTTTTAAGATTTATTTATTTGACACAGAGAGAGCACAGCAGGGGGGAGCAGTAGGCAGAGGGAGAGGGAGAAGCAGGGTCCCTGGTGAGCAAGGAGCCCGATGCAGGACTCGATCCCAGGACCCTGGGATCGTGACCTGAGCCGAAGGCAGATGCTTAACTGACAGCCACCCAGGCGTCCCATGTTGAATACTTTCAATGTACTATATTCTAGGTGTTTTATATATACGAATTTATATAGTTCTCTTAATAGCTTTTGAAACAGGTGTTACCCTTATTCTATAGATGAGGAGACAGAGGCATGTAGAGGTTGAGTAACTTGCCCATGACTCCACAGTTGGTCAGGGTTCAGACCTGTGCAGCTGGCTCCAGCATCTGTACTCTAATCATGGTGTTATAGTGCCTCAGGTGGACAAGGAGGGTATTGTCCCAGAGGTTAAAAACTTGGCCAGGGGCACCTAGGTGGCTCAGTCATTAAGCGTCTGCCTTCGGTCATGGTCCCAGAGTGCTGGGATCGAGCCCCGTATCGGGCTCCCTGCTCCACGGGAAGCCTGCTTCTCCCTCTCGCACTCCCCCTGCTTGTGTTCCCTCTCTCACTGTGTCTCTCTCTGTCAAATAAATAAATAAAGTCTTTAAAAATATAAATAAATAAAAACTTGGCCAAAGGCCCAGAGCTATTGATGGAGCTGGAATTCAGGGGAAGAGAAAGAGAGCTACCTAGGATATGAGAAAGAAACAACAGATGAATAAAGGGTGCACTTGGAAAGAGACTACAGGCAGGGAAGGCCTTCAAGATTCTGGTTACTGTAGGGAATGTGGCCGTCTTCTAGATCGGTGAATGAAAAAGATTTAGGAAAATCTTTAAGAGCTGCCACTTTTTAAAATGCTTGTGTCCTTTATATATGTAATGTTTAAGCCTTACAAGATCACTTAGAAGTATAAGTATTATTTCCATTTTACAGTTGAGAAACTGAGGTTCCCTGGTGCTTATGAGTGGACGGTGAGGTTGGGAACCACTGATAAAGAAGGAATTTCCACTTTATTTGGAAGGCAGTAGGGAGTCATTGAAGGGTTTAAAGCTGGGAAATGCCCAGAGCTCTTTTTTGGAACTTGCTATACTGAAAGGAGAAAAGATGTCTATGGTTTTTCTCTTACAGGAAGTCCAGGACTGCTGCTGTCTTCCATGGCAGGAAGGATGGTATTGGGTGGCAAGCACTCTCTGTGTCTCTGGGTACTGCCAGACTGGACTCAGTTCCATGGTCATTCCTTCTCTCTTCTAGGTTTCCCTCCTCAGGACTTTGTCATTGCAGAAGAGAGGAACACCAACGAACTCCAAAAGGACACAGAGATGTCTGACAATCCCTCATCTGCTGGATCCCAGGTAAGTGAAGCTTTCTTCTGATTTTGTTCTCCAATATGGGTATCTCACCCTCCTGATTTCTAGACCTTCCCTATCGAATTAAATCACATTCTCATTTCCTTTAAGTCTTTATATAAATATCACCTAACTGAGCCTTTCCCTGGCTATCTTATTTAAATTTTTTTTCTGACTTGGGGGGCCTGGGTGGCTCAATCGGTTGAGCTACAGACTCTTAGTTTCAGCTCAGGTCATGATCTCAGGGTCGTGGGATTGAGCCCCACCTCAGGCTCCATGCTCAGTGCAGAGTCTGCTTGTCCCTCTCCCTCTGCTCCTCCCCTGCTTAATGTGTGCGCTCTCTCTCTCAAATAAATAAAATCTTAAAAAAAATTTTTTCTGACTCTTTATATCTTCTTTCCCTGCTTTATTTTTTTCCCTGCTTTATTTTTCTCTGTTGGACCAATCACCATCCCACATACTACACGTTTAACATTTTTCTGCTTTTTCTTTTTTTTTTTTTTTAAAGATTTTATTTATTTATTTGGCAGAGAGAGACACAGCGAGAGAGGGAACACAAGCAGGGGGAGTGGGAGAGAGAGAAGCAGGCTTCCCATGGAGGAGGGAGCCTGATGCGGGGCTCGATCCCAGGACCCTGGGATCATGACCTGAGCTGAAGGCAGACGCTTAATGACTGAGCCACCCAGGCACCCCCATTTTTCTGCTTTATCTGTCTCTTGAATTAATTGTTTTGTTTGTGTTTTTAGTATTCCATTTTATGCCCAGTGTTGGCTCATTTAAAACAACTCTTATGTGGTTTGCACTGTTATGCTCCTTTTTATGTGTGAAATAAATGGCAGCTATTATAGGGACATGATACTGTTGTGAGGTTTTATTTTTTTTTTTCAAAAATGTTCTCCTTAATGTTCTTGTTAAATCATTTCTTTAAAAATTTATTTATTTACTTTAGGGGGGGAAGGGCAGAGAAAGAGGGAGAGAGAATCCTGAGCAGACTCCATGGAGCCTGATTTCTGATTTTAAAACTCCAGTTAATAGTACTAAATCTATAAATTTTTTAGTGTTGGCAGTTAATATGAATTTTGAATAAAATAATAAAAAACCTATAATAAAAACCCAATAACCTCCTTGGTAGGAGCTGGGCAGCCAGTGTATGACTTCTACTTTAAATCAGTTGCTCATAGATCTGCATAATGTTTTCCTGAAAACACAAAAGATGTATATTAATAAAATGTGTATCATATTCTTATGTAGTCTTCTAATATCTACTTTTTATTTTATTTATTTTTCTTATTTATTCATTTGAGACACAGAGATACAGAGAGAGAGAGAGAGAGCATGAGCAGGGAGAGAGGCAGAGGGAGAGGGAGAAGCAGGCTCCCTGCTGAGCCAGGAGCCCAATGCAGAGCTCGAACCCAGGACCCTGGGATCATGACCTGAGCCGAAGGGAGACGCTTAACCATTTGAGCCACCCAGGCGCCCCAATATCTACTTTTTAAATTCAACCTTAGGGGTACCTGGGTAGCACAGTCGGTTGAGTGTCTGACTGCTGGTTTTGGCTCGGGTCATGATCTGGGGGTTGTGGGGTTAAGTCCTATGTTGGGCTCTGCACTCAGTGTGGAGTCTGCTTAGGTTTCTTTCTGCCCCTCCTCCACCAGGCACATGTGCACGCACATGCACTCGCCTGCTCTCTCTCTCTCAAATAAATAAATCTTTAAATTAATTAATTGATTCAACCTTAGGTTATCAAGACTGTTGTAACTGTAGTTAATTGGTTTGCATTGCTGGAATATTATTCCATTGTGTGACTATTACCGTAATATATTTATCTCTTTTACTCTAAACAGACATGTGGATTGTTTCTAGGTTTTGGATGTTACAGACAGCACTGTTAAGAATATAAATGTCAGGGGGCACCTGGCTGGTGTAGCCAGTTAAGCATCTGACTCTTGATTTCGGCTCAGGTCATGATCTTGGGGTTGTGAGATCAAGCCCCACGTCAGCCTCCACGCTGGACGTGGAGCCTGCTTAAGATTCTCTCACCCTGTCCCTCTGCCCCTCCCCCTATTTCACGCATTTGTGCACGCTTTCTCTCTCTCTCTCTCTCACTCACTCGCTAAAAAAAAAAGAATATAAGTGTCTCCAAGTACACATGATCAGATATACCTAGGAATATAATCTCTGGGTCCAAAGTGGTTTACCAATTTACATTTCCCCTAGCATCTAATAAGAGGTCTCATGAGTCCACATTCTAGACAACATTTGGTATTGCCAGACTTATTAATTTTTGTCAGTTGAATGAGTATAAATGGTACGGTGTCATTTTGATTTACATTTCTCTGTTTATTAATAAGATTGAATATCTCTTTATGAGCTCTTTGGGTTTTACAGATGAGTCACTGAGGCTTAACCTACCCACATTCACAAAGATTGTAACAACCAGAGCCAGGACTTAAACCTAGCTCTCTCTGATTCCTGAGGCTGAGGTATACTGCTTAGCTTTTAATTATGCACATTCATTATTTATAAAGTAGCTTAAAAGGATCTTTTTTTAAAAAGATTTTATTTATTTGTCAGAGAGAGAGAGAGTGTGAGTGCACAAGCCGGGAGAGCAGCAGGCAGAGGGAGAAGGAGGCTCCCTGCTGAGCAAGGGCCCCATGCGGGTCTCGACCCCAGGACCCTGGGTTCACAACCTGAGCCAAAGGTAGACGCTTAACGGACTGAGCCACCTAGGGAATCCCTTAAAAGTATCTTTTGCCTTCAATCCAAATTTGTAGTAGTTAGCAGCAGGCACTATCTCAGACAGATTCCCCCTTCTTTCATACTACAAGACAAAGAAAGGTACATCACTAGGTCCCTGTACCCTCTGGATTAGAACACTTGGATTAGAAGCTTTCTGCCAGGGGCGCCTGGGTGGCTCAGTCAGTCAAACGTCTGCCTTCGGCTCAGGTCGTGATCCCAGGGTCCTAGGATTAAGCCCAGCATCAGGCTACCTGCTCGGCAGGGAGCCTGCTTCTCCCTCTGCCCCTCCCCCGCTGTGTTTTCTCTCTGTCAAATAAATAAATAAAATCTTTGAAAAAAAAAAAGAAGCTTTCTGCCAGTCTGAATGCTTTATGTTCAGTCCTCTCTCATCAGGCGCCTTCCCCCTCTTTGGGATAATTTCTGGATTTTGACCATTTGGAAGTGTTTTTGGTATTTTAGGAGTTGGTGACTTTCAAGGATGTGGTTGTGGACTTCAGTCCGGAGGAATTAACCTACCTTAGTGCTGCTCAGAGGAACCTCTACCGGGAGGTGATGCTGGAGAATTACAGGAACCTGGTCTCCTTAGGTAAGGCTGCCTTCTCCTTGGAACTTGGTTTCTGCCCACTAGGGCAGTGGTTCTCAACTCTTTTCTGTCCTCACATCAGGAACATCAGTAATAGTGGTTCACCATGTCAGTGAATTTCAACTCAGATCAAAGACAGTATTTTATTTTATTATTATTTTTTTAAAATGTTTTATTTATTTATTCATGAGAGTCACAGAGAGAGAGAGAGAGAGGGAGGCAGACGGAGAAGCAGGCTCCCCGCTGAGCAGGGAGCCCGATGCGGGGCTCGATCCCAGGACCCTGGGATCATGACCTGAGCTGAAGGCAGATGCTTAACCAGCTGAGCCACCCAGGCGTCCCAAAGACAGTATTTTAATATCAAATTCACTCTTACTCCTAATAGGGCCAACATTGAGTACTTAATATGTATCAGGCATTAGTCTAAGCACTGTACATGTCTTATTCCTTTAATCCTTACACTAGTCCTGTGAGGGAGAGGTATATTTCCTGTTATTTTTATTATTATTGCCATTTTACAGATGAGGAAACAGAGCCATGGGAAAGTTAAATTATCTAAAATCACATGGCTACAAAGTGGCAGGTTGAGATTTGACCCTTAGTGGATCAGCTCCAGAATCTGCTCCCTTAAATTAAATGACTGTACTGTTGGATGGGGGTGGGTTTCATCAGGTCTTGGCACAGTAGAAGGCTCGCAGTGAGGTTTTTTGAATGTGAGGGAATTGATGAAAATTTCAGGAGCTCCAAAGGCTTCTACTGGACTTAAAGTTTAAGAGTAAGGGATTGCCAGTCTCTCTTCATATCCAGAGGCAAGGTTGTTTACCTCTCCCCACAAGCTAAAAATTTTTAAGTACCAGTGCCAGGGTCTTCATTTCAGTGGCTTTTTGGGGGCCTGAGGTCTCCTGAAACACACAGTCAAACCAAACACCATTCCAATGGCAGTAAGCTGACGCTCTTGTCCTTGTGAAGTCAGAGACCTGTGTGAGGAGATGGAAGTGCCTTACCTTACAAGAGTGTGTAATTTGAGGGATGCCTGGGTGGTACAGTCGGTTAAGGGTCGGACTCTAGTTTTGGCTCAGGTCGTGATCTCAGGGTCCTGGGATCTGTACTCAGCATGGAGTCTGCTTGAGGTTCTCTCTCCTCCTCCCTCTGCCCCTCCTGCTCATGCATGCGCACTCTCTCTCTCTCTCTCAAATAAATAAATATTAAAAAGAAGGGTGTGTAATTTGAACTGTGACTTCTGTTGGTTACAAAGAAGGCAAAAAGGAGTGCCTTTTCCAATATAACTCTTCCCTCAGTTACCACATTTATGACTTAAAATAGAGGGAATAAGTCAGTTTTACCTTTTTAGCCCTCATGCAGTAACCTGGAGGCATTTCTGTCTTCTTGTGAGGCCTTGGCTTCTTGTATCCCCGAAGGTTTTGGGTTAATGGAGATTTTACATATCACCCAGGACATTGTCTTCCCAAGTGTGGAATGAGTACAGTGGATTATAGAGAAGGTTATTTTAGGTAGTACCTTTTGTTGGCCTTCCATTTTAGCAAAGAGAGAGCAGACCTCAGGCCCTGAGTCTTAGGCGACCAAAACTAGGTAGCACTCAATAACATTAATTTTGGTTGGATCTATTGCTGTATTATCTTCGGGGCTTTTTTTCTTTTTTGCAAATGACTGTGGTTTCTGTTTTTGAGGTTGATATAAACTTCCATTTAAATAAGTGTATTTAAGTTAAAAAGAGAGATGATCTAAAGAAGAGTATTAAATGCTAAATATTACAACAGGTAGCACATAGATAGGGCTAGAATGTGAAGGTCGTTAATAAATTTGTCAGTGAAATTGTCAGTATGGCGGGTTCTGGAATAGGCATTGGTGTTACAAAATTGACGAGGATTCCTGTTTTCGTGGATGTTACTAATTCTAGTGGGGTGAGACAGACAATACAGAAATAACGAGGTAGTGTCTTAGTTCGTTTGGTCTGTTATAACAATATCCCAGAATGGGTGGTTTCTAAACAACAGACATTTATTTCTCATAGTTCTGGAGTCTGGAAGTCCAAGATCAGGGTGCCAGCACAGTCAGGTGAGGGCTGTCTTCTAGGCCACAGGCTTCCTGTTGTCTCCTCACTGGGTGGAAAGGGCTAGGAAAACTCACTGAAGCCTTTTTTTAATAAGGGCACTAATCCAGTTCATGAGGGCTCCACCCTATGACCTAAGCACCTCTCAAAAGCCTACTTTCTAATAACACCACAGTGGGCTTTAGGATTTTAACATATGAATTTTGGGGGGATACAAACATTCAGACCACGGCAGGTGGCCTGCAAATGACTGAAGTTTGGGAAACACAGAACTAGGGGAGGGAGAAGGAGCAGTTTAAGACAAGGGGAATGAAGCTATCATGAGGAAAAGAACTTGTTGAGCAGCTATGACATCAGATCCCCCCCAAGCTGAAGTAGAGAGCCCAGCACACTGTTCTCAACCCCCTTTTCAATTTTTACTCCAAAGCAGAGTTTTTCAACCTTGGCACAGTTGACGTTCAGGCCAGATCATTCCTTGCTGTGGAGGAATGTCCTGGGCATTGCAGGATGTTTAGCGACCTGGCCTCTCTGTACTAGATATCAATAGCCTTCCTTCCTCTCCCTGAACTTGTGACAACCAAAAATGTCTCCCATTTGGGCCAAAATCATTAGAAACAGGCTTCACTTTTATTTTGTGTGAATTTGCATCTTCCTTATTATCTCTGAGTCTTTAGAGCCTAGGCTGGGAGTCGCTGTGGGTGCAAAGCAAAACCCCCAAGTTATGAGTCTCCTTCTTCAACAGGGTACCAGTTCCCTAAACCCGACATTATCTCACAGCTGGAAGAGGAAGAGTCACGTGTGAGGGAGGAAGACAGCAATACAGAGATATGTCAAGGTAAGTAGTGAGGGGGAAGCCCATGGAGACTGGAATTACGGGAGGACAATCCCCCCAGTCAGTCGGGATGGGGGCTGGGAGCTGTTGGTCTGAGAGCATCCCTCAAAGTCCACTCAGGCCAAGGAAATAGAGGGCTGGTAGATGTTCTCATCTCAGGGCTCACAAGGTTTCACCACTTAGTGTGCACTTAGTTCTTCTTTCATCTGCTCTTCCTGTAGTCGGAGCGACTCTCTTGCCTGGTGCCAGGGAGGCCCGTTTCCCTTTTCTCTACTGTTCCAACCCCTGTACTTATTCGTGCCTTTCCCCTTGCAGCTAGACCTCGGTCTTTCCTCTTTAACTGAGACAAGAAAAAACCTTGGCGTGATACCACTCTTCTTTCCACTTGCCTCGCATTTTCCCACATGGCAGCTCTTCAGACTTGTTGACACCCAAAGGCTCCCTTTCCCTTCCCTCTTTAACCCCCACAATCTGGTTTCCATCCCCTACCTCTGCCAACACACACACACACACGCACACACACAGAGTCTCACTGTATCTCTCTCCGTCTTTCCCTCTCCCTCTCTCACACTCTGTTTCACAGCCCCCCAAAGGTCCCTACCAACATCCTTATGGCTCAAGGACAAAAACCCTCTCCAAACTCTATGGCTACAATATGATAACATTTGTCATCTTTATGAAATCCTCTCCTTCTCTGAACCGGGTCACTATGTGTATCAGCCAGGATCATTGTTGCCCTTCAGCTCCTGTTAACAGAAAACCACACCCAAACTGGTATAAGCCATAAGGGGATTGTATTAGCTTACAATACTGCTCATCTGGGCTTCAGGGATGGCTGGATTCAGAAGCTCAGTGATGTTATCAAGGGCCTACTTTCATTTTTGTTTTTACTCTGCCGACAAATCCTGGGTGTGCTTTCTTGTTCCAGTCTGGGGGTGGGGCAGTGGGGGGAGAGAGAGAGAGAGAGAGAGAGCAAGCGAGCAGGTGTGTCCAAGAAGCATTCGCAAGAGCGAGGACGCTTCTTTCTTAGAAGCCCTTGACACACCTCTCCTCATTTTCAGTGTTCCATTTGGGTCATAACCCATTCCTGAACCAGTAGCTATGCCCAGTCTAGTGGTAATCAATACAGCTTTCCCTGCCTTTTCCTGTGTAGGCAGAGAAGATGTCCAAACAAATTCAAGGACCTACCAAGGGGACCCCTCTACCTGCCTCTGTGTTGCCCTCAGTGTCTTCTTTACATTCACTCCTTGACTCCTTCAGTCATTCCACAGATATTTATTGAGCCCTTGTGGTGGGCCAGCCCTGTTCTAGGTTCTGTGGCTACAGTAATGATCAAGTCAGACAAAATCCCTTCCTTTATAGTCCTTTCATTCTAATGGGGGTGATAGTTGATACACAGACAAGTAATAGAGTCTGAGTGTAAAGCAGGCAGTGACAAATGGGAAGCCACTTAAGAGAGGTAGTCAGACAGAGGAGGAGCCACATAGAAATCTTGAGGAAGAGTGTTGCAGGCAGAGGGAATAGCAAATACAGAGGCCGCAAGTTTGGAATGAGCTTGGGTGTTCCAGAAAAAGGAAGAAAAGCAATATGGTCTGAGTAAACTGGAGGGGGATAGGAGTTAACGTTGAGAAGATAGACATAGGTCAACTCACATAGGAATATGTTAAAGAATGTGGATTTCATGACAAGTGAGATGTGAAAAAGGTATTAGAGGGTTTTGAGCCCAGGGAATGAGGTAGTATTATTGACTCCTTAGAACTGTGCTGTCTGATGTGACAGCCACTAGACACACATAGTTGAATTTATATGAATTAAAATTGCATAAATTTAAACTCGGTCACACCAGCCACATTTCAAGTGTTCTTTACTTACATGTGGCTAGTGACTATATATCAGACAGCAAAAATACACATCGTTTACCTCATTGCAGGGCATTCCACTGGGCAGCAGTGTCTAGAAAGATCCCTCTGACTGTTCTATGGAAAGTGGGCTTTAGGAAGACCCGCAGAGAAACCAGTTGGGAGCTTGGTATTGCAGGCTAAAGCTGATGGAGGTTGGTGCTGTGATTGTCGAGTACGGTTTGAGGTGTTCTCTGTGAGGAGAACGGGCAGAACAGCCGTCTCTTGGTCTTCTATGTGAGTCGTCTCTTCAAAGACCATTTCCTAAAAGATCTAATCCATTGTGGGTCCAGTTATCCCTTTCCTGATGATTTCCTAATCTGCTTTCTGGCTCTACTATTTCATCTGCTATCTGCCAGGACGAGACTGTTGTGTTCATCCTTGTCTCTTGTCAGTTTCTTTCCCACACAGAGAGTTGCCTTTGTAAAGCACAAACTTTTGACTACTACTACTCTCAAAAGAAAATCCAAACATTTAGCAAAACATTTAAATCCCTCCCAATCTGCATAAGATCTGTTCTGTTATTTTTGGTCCCTTTCTTATGTCTCTACTATAACGATGTGTCTCTGTGAGGAAAGAATAGAGGAACTTTTACATTTCTTTTAGATGGGGAGAAAAGACCTAAAACCAAAGATCTAACTCCAGAGCAAAGCCTGCCTATGGAAGAGTCATCCTTGGGGGCAGGAATGGAGGATCTGATGGTAGGTAACTTCTGCAGTGTCTATGTAGGAGAATCTTCTCCTGATGATCCATCAGATTTGTACCAGGTCAACCAAGAGAAACCTTTGAGTCCTGTAACAATGACTGAGCCCAAGACCCCCACTCAAGAAAGAAGCCATGACCGTGATGATTTTGAGAGGAGCTCATATCTTACTAAGCAATCGGAAGGGCCTCCAGGAAAGGATCCCCAGGAATGTGCTACTCCTGGAATTTGCACCAGTCCCCAGCCGGTGGATGACAAGCCTTTCCTCCAAGAGAACAGATGTGGATTTTGTGAAAGAACTTTTATTACCCAGACAGCGCGTGAGAGACATGAGCAGATCCATACTGGGAAGAAACCCTTTGAATGTAAACGATGTGGAGAAGCCTTCTACCTCATGCCACACCTCACCAGACATCAGAGGACTCACCGGAATGGTGAGACGTCCTCTGGATGCAACGAAGGTGGAAAGTCTTTCATCCAGCATGCAAATATCAGTGGCCGTGTAAGAATTCATAGGCAGGAAGACTACTATGAATGTTCCCAGTGTGGCAGAGCCTTTATCCAGGATGTGCATCTTTTCCAACATCTCAAAGCCCACGAGGCAGCAAAAGCCCTTCCCCCTGGGTTGCCCCGCATTAAGACGTATTTAATTCGGTATCAGCGGAAACATGACTATGTGGGAGAGAGAGCCTGTCAGTGTTGTGACTGTGGCAGAGCCTTCAGTCGGACTTCACATCTCATTCAGCACTACCGAATTCATGCTCAAGAGAGACCTTACCAGTGTCAGCTGTGTGGGAAGTGTTTCAGCCGACCCTCCCACCTCACCCGCCATTATCAACTCCATTCTCAAGAGAAACCTGACGAGTGCAATCATTACTAAAAACCTCCAGTCAGAGAACATTCTCAACATCTTTGGCTCCATCCTGGGGAGAGACCCTCTGAGTGCTCTGAATGCGAGAATACCGTCCTCCAGCTCTCACAACTTAATGACTTGAAAACTCATCATGATGTGATAAAAAAAAATGGCGAATGGTTGCAAGGGTATAGAACAGCTTTTTGCAAAAGAAGATCCAGCACACGTATCAGTAGTCACACAGCTGAAAATCCTTACAAAGAATATTTTTGTTGCATAGGAAAGAAGTTAATAGATTATGCCTTTCTTTTGGTGGTATTCGTGGAATGGAAAACTTTCATTTTGACACCCTGACAAAAATTTTGTGACTGGCCGTTGGACTCCAGACAGGCAGTCTGTTCCCAAGGTTTTCTAGGAGTGTTTACGTACAGTATCTTCACCATGTGGGATGTGTCAACACAGAGCGTGGTAGAAAGATTTTCAAGGTGTGCTTATATTGATTCGTCCACAAGGCTGATGTACCTGGCAATGTGTTTACGTCACACCTCATAATTCACAAAACATTGTCATGTATATTATTTTATTTGATCTTTTAAGGAATGCTGCAGTGTACCTAGTGGGCATATTTATTCTATTTTTACAGGCAAGGCGAACTTGAAGCTCCCAAGTGGTTGGTTGATCTGACCTAGGTTGTAAGTGATGAAGTAGGAAATGAACCCAGGCTTTGTTTTATTTTGAGATTTCATGAGGTATTTATTTCATATCTTGATGTTTGACCCTGGTTTTCTTTACTCCTGCCACTTCCTCTCTGAAGAAAAGGTGCAGTGCTCTACTGCCTTCAGCCATCTTCCTCTGTAGTAGTCCCAGCACTGTTTCATGTGAAATCAGACAAGGACACCTACAGTATTAGAGGTTCAGAAAGTTTTCTTAGGGTGAAGTATGATAGCCACTTCCCTTGAGATTTAGGATTAGAGGATGACTTTCTGAGACTAATTCAGGGAAGTGTATTTTTGCTAAACACTTTCTTGTAAGTGTTCTTGTAGGTCATAAAACAGTTACTAATCAAGGAGAATCTTTTTTGTAGTTTCCTGTGGTTGTCTGAGGGATTAGGGTTTCTTGTTTCCCTTTTCCTTCCTTTAAAAAAAATCCTGTTTGAGAACTTTCTTGGGCTGTGGCATCATTAGCACAGCGAACTTCACCTAAAATCCTAATTCTACGCAGAACACACTTCGCTCTTTAAAGGTATGAGCCCAGAGTTGCACAAAAATCTCTTGAATGCCATATTGCTATAATGTTAAAAGCTTTCCATCACTGCCTTGACTGGTGGTCAGATACAGAGACACATGGTAACCAGTTGGACCTGGAATTCCAGAACCTGATCCCTTGCCTGGTAGGGTGACTTGTTGCTGTTGTTATTCATTGCCCTGCTTTTTCTCATCAGCCCTTTTTAAGGTTGATCTATGATGCGTGGCCCAGAGTCATGAAATTAAAAGCAAACATTACCCGTCAGAACCTGATGAGCCAAACGAATGTTAGCCGCGCAACCTCTCTTCATTTCCAAAGTTCTTGATGAAATAGCCCTCACTGGCAGGCCCCATTTTCTCATGACAGTCTACTCTTGAACCCACTGTAAACTGGTTTCTGATCCTGCCACCACTCCCACAAAGGAACAGGATGTCAGTGCGTCTTAATTGATGGTGATATTGATTAGTCTTGATGCCTTGATTTAAAGTGCTGTCCACTGGGTTGTTCTTTAAAGTTACTATTTATTTCTCTTTGTAATTAATAAGTATCCTACTGGAGAAATTTTGAGACTGTGCAAGTACAGATCTTCCTTGACTTACGATGAGGTTTTGTCCTGATAAACCTATCGTAAATTGAAAATACTGTAAGCTGAAAGTGCATTTAATATGCCTCACCTACTGAACATCATAGCTTGGCATATTCTACCTTAAAAGTGCTCAGAATACTTACACTTGCCTATAGTTGGGCAAAATTATCTAATACAAAGCCTGTTTTATCATTGTGTTGAATATCTCATGTAATTTATCGAATACTATGCTGAAAGTGAAAAACAGAATGACCGTATGGGTACATAAGGGTTCTAAGTGTATTGGTTGTTTATCTTGTGATTACAAGGCTGACAAGGAGCTGGGGCTTGCTACCACTCGCTGCCACTGTCCAGTATCATGAGAGAGTCTTGTACCATATATCATTAGGTGCGGAAAAGATAAAAATTCAAAATTTGAAGTACAGTTTCTACTGAATGCATTTGCTTTTGTAAAGTCATTGTAAAGTCAAAATATCATAAGTTGGAACCATCATAAGTCGGGAACCGCCTGTATCCAGTTTCTCCTCAAACTTTTACCCACTAAATTTTAGCATCTTGCAAATAGATCTTGCCTACAGCCATTGTGACTCTGTGGTATTATAAGGCGAATTTCTATTTCCCTCATTCTTTCTACATTTAGTAATTAGATTTCTCCTGTGAGGAAGTTACCCACCCTATTTATTTATTCAGTAATTTATTTATATCAGTATGAATTCATGGATATTTATTTTATTCTATGGGCTGTAATTAAATACTATTTATTTTGTTCACATTCTTCCAGTGTTGGCTATTGGGAACCCTTTCAGGTTGGCTCCTGGGCCTTCTTAACAAGCTGCCAACCTTTTCTGAACACTTTTAACTTGCTACACCCTCCTTAATTTCTCTCCCTTCCCCTCCAGGAATTCCCTGTATGACTTTTTGATGGATTCTACCTCCCATCTTGTGAAATCAGCTTCTTTCCCCAGGGCCATCAGTTTAGTCAGGTCCCTGTCAATCTCAGTCATTTCATTTCTCCCCTCGCCATTTTTGCTAAATCTACATTGTGATTCACTTAATACATTTTTTCAATTGTCTTCTCTCTGTTTTTTAAATTTTAATACATCTACTTTATTTTTTAAAAGATTTTATTTATTTATTTATTTGAGAGAGAGCACGTGCCAGGGGAGAGGCAAAGGGAAAGGAAGAAGCAGGCTCTCTGCCAAGCAAGAAGCCTGACGTGGGGCTCGATCCCAGGACTCTGGGATCATGACCTGAGCCGAAGGCAGACACTTAACTGACTGAGCCACCCAGGCGCCCCTTAATACATCTACTTTAGAAGGAAAATTTTAAATCACCTCAAACAAAGGGTTTTACCCGGACCATAATCAGATTTCCCTGATAGCTGCTAAGATGTCTTTTTACAGTTAGCTCATTTGAATCCAGATTCAAACATGGTCTACAAATTGCATTTGGTTGTCTGATCTCTTGAGTCTTAATCTAAAGCAGTCTCCTCTTACTTTTTTTAATGCCTTGTGTGACCCCAAGGATGATGTAGAGATACACCTCCTTCCTCTTCCCACCCAATTCCTAATATATCTAACAGTTTTAGTACTCTTATATTCTGGCTTAATTTTTAATTTGAAGGCACTTATTTTTAAAACTGTTTATATTGTGGTAAAAAGCGCCACATAACATAATATTTGCCATCTCAAACATTTTTAAGTGTGCAGTTCAGTAGTATTAATTATAGTCACATTATTGTTCAACAGATCCCCAGGACTTTATCATCCTGCAAAACCAAAACTCTATACCCATTAAGAAGTAACTCCATATTTCTCCCTTTTCCCAGCCCTGGTGACCATCATTCTAGCACCTTTTTTCTGTAAAAGCTTTGTGTGATTATGCAAATAATACTGGAAGAAACTGTGCCATTGTCCTGTGTGATATTCCCCATTCTAAATCTGTCTGCTTCCTGTAGTGTCTTAAGCTTGTTCCTCTCTCTGTATTTTCTGTAAATAGAAGTTAGTATATCAGAGACTTAGATTCATCTTCAGCTTCTTTGGCAAAGATACCTTTTAGGTAGTTTTGTGTGCTTTACCAGCATGATATGGTGTTGGCTTTTCCCAGGAGTCCAGCCTTTTAAAATCACTCTCCAAGCCACTGCCCCAGTCACAGATGATGAGGTTTCCAAGCGTTCACCATCTTTGGATTATACATAGGCCAGCTGCTTTAGTTCCTTCTTCATTACCTCTTCTAGATTTCTCTACATTCCTCCATCACTCCAGTTTGGTCTTCAGACACTTGAATTAAGAGATGGTGGAGACTTCTTTTTTTTTTTTTTATTTTAAAGATTTTATTTATTGGACAGAGAGAGATAGTGAGAGCAGGAACACAAGCAGGGCGCCGGAGTGGGAGAGGGAGAAGCAGGCTTCCCACTGAGCAGGGAGCCCGATGTGGGACTCGATCCCAGGACCCTGGGACCATGACCTGAGCCGAAGGCAGTCGCTTAACGACTGGGCCACCCAAGCGCCCTGGTGGACGAGACTTCTTGAGGGTCTGGGTGTGGGCCATTTGTTGAGAATTCTGGGCCAGGGCTTCAGACTTCTTGAGGAGCCTTAACTAGAGAAAGTCAAGGAGCACGACTTGACTAATTTTGTTCTGATGCTTCTTTCATGCCAAAACTGGAATCGGTGACAGCATGGGATAGTTGACTTTGCCTGTCACCCCTGAACTATTTGGAACATATGGAAGACATACCAGCCACTGCCTCCATATTTTACAAACTTGACCTGACCAAGATGCTACATACCTCAGCCTGTTATTTTGGTTTTCAGCTTGCTATCCTAGTGGGCTCCCAAGGATAATGCTTTTGCTGCTTCCCTCCTTTTCCCACCCAATTCCTAACAACAGCTCTTTTATTCAGGTTAATTTTTTTAAAATTTAGAAATACTCGTGTTTTAAGCATTTTTTTGTGATTATGCTGGTAATATATATTCTTTGAAGATTAGAAAATAACATGTTTTTCTTTGAATATTTGTATTACCCTCTCCCAGATACACTTGCTGCTAAAAAGGATATAAAATTGTCCAGATATTTTTCCTTTGCATAGATCTATATAGATTTTTATATAAAAATATTTTTATGAAATAGAATCGTACCATTGGCACTGTTTTGAAGGGTGTAATTTTTATTCTAATATATCATGAATATCTTTCCATATCCATATTTATGCCCCTAACTTTTGTTTTTCAGGACTGCCTAGTACTTGGTTACATAGATGTGTCCTGATTTATTTTCTAGCATTAGCCTTCTAAGGTTGTATAATTTAATTTATCTTTTATTTGTACGTTACTGCTGTCATTACACTTCCCTGTTACCTGTTAGGCCTTAGTATTTCCCTTATCAATTTGCTCTAATGTCTTTGCATATAGTCATGTTTCCTAAGAGGAAATTCCCAGCAGCAGGATTTCTCGGCCAAGAGGTATGTGTATCTCAAAGGTTTTAGAAACCTTCCTGGCCTCATCCCACCAAAGTCTAAAAGCTGTGATTTTTTTTCTCTAGGGAACAACTAAACTACTCAACTCTCTCTCACTTTTCTCCTTGAAGAATTTGCTCTATGAACCCATCTAATAACAGGACTGAAGTCAGAAAGAATCACAGGCAAAGTTTGTTAGAACCCTAATTTTAACATAGTTTTATTAGGTTTACTTTTTCACTAAACAAATAATAGTAAGCATATTAAGGAAAATTTTGGAAAGCAAAGAAGGCTAATAAATTTCCTAATAGGCCCAGAATCTCAACAAGTACAAGCCCAGGAATGTAGTTTTGTTTACAGGTAGAAG